GGGGAGAAGGAGGGGGGTTCGGAGGGGCATCCTAGCTATCAGGATGCTAAGAACAAGAGTAAAAATGCAGCAATTAAAATTCCCAAAACCTCCTAGTCTATATTGCAGAGCAAGATCAGTGACAAAATAGTGCACCTACACTGCCTGTTTTACAACTCTGGACTTTTCAAGGAGATACTCAGAGATTCTTGCCCCCATCACAGCTCCAGTTGGTGTAAACATCATTTCCAGATATTTTCCAAAACGGCTGGAATTGTCATTGATGGCTGTGCATGCATTTCCAAAGGCTTCCACCAGGGAGTTGACTTGCAGAATTTTCTCTTTCAAGGTCTGATTATTGGCCTGTGCCAAACAGAGAGCAGTTACAAGAGGCCTCCAGAAACACTAATCCAGCAATTTACCAGGCACCCTTCCCTGGCCACAGAATTCACATTATGAATACTTAGGGGAAGAACTCCATTTGGGGAAATTAGCACCAGCCTCCAGCATTGTTTTCTCAGATGAGCAACTTGACAGTACATAGACATCAGATGACACTAGATTAGGTCATCAGTTTTTACATCCAGCTACACTTCACTTAAAATCTTTGACAGACAAAATGTCTAAACCATTTAGAAACAATTTTAAGTAGAAAGACTCATACCTTTTCTCAATCATCCATTATAATATTCATAAACCTCATCTGTAACACATGTTCCTTAAATTGTTTCTTAGCCTCATATTAAACTAATTCTGAGCATAAGTAACTGGTGGACCATTTCTAAGTCAGTCCTTCAATGTCCATTTCATCAAGCTGAAAAATTTCATTTTCCTCAACTTTTGCTCAAAGATTTCTACTTTCCAATCCTTTAATCACCTCAATGACTCTCTCTAATCCTGTTCCTAATGTTTAACCACTTTTACTACTTAATGGCTCAATGTTTCTATTGCATTAAAAACATAAAAAATTAATTGCCAATAATCTAGTAAATTTGTGCTGGCATTATTTTTCTCACTACAGGAAAGAAAGATGGCATGCTGACATCTTAAGAGCCCTAGCTATCAGGAGGCAAACATAATAAAGATGGAATGTTTTTATGCAAACCCTTAAAAAACAACAACACAATGTTTACATTATTTGTAAAATATGAAGGTTCTCTGCAGAAACTTCTAGCCACAATACATATAAAGCAGGTAGTCAGTACCTTTCCCAAGAAAGTCAAATGCTGAACAATCAGGTGGGCACTTTCTGTCTTCCCAGCGCCACTTTCTCCGCTGATGACAATGCACTGACACAGAAAATGGAGTGTTGGTGAGGAAACACCCTGTGTGGTCAGCTACGATTTTCATATAACACCCACTACTGTACACCTTCATTTTTTACTCAGCAATATGTCTTTCCTTTTCAGTACAGCGGGAGCTTCTTCAACCTTTTCATAGTTGCCTATTGTTCATTGTATAGATATACCATAGTCTATTTAACCAGTCCCATATGGATAGATACTTGAGTTTTTTTCCTTTAGTTATTACAAACAATATTGTAATGAATAACTCTACACATAGGTCATTATATTTATATGCAGGTTTGTCTATAGAATAAATTCCTAGAAATGGGGTAGTTGCATCAAAAGGGAAATACACCTGTATGTTTGATGGATAGAACCAAATGGCTTTCCTAAGGTTGAACCAATATATGAAAGTGCCTGTTCTCCTACAGCCTCACCAAACAGAGTATGTTGGATTTTTGCCAATTTGATAGGCAAAAAAATGGTATCTCAGTGTAGTTTTAATTTGTATTTCTTTTAGTATGATCAAGGTTCCATATGGTTAAGGTTATTCATATTTTCTTTTTGTGACCAGTTCATATACTTTGCTGTGTTTTTGTATTATTATTGGTCTTTTTATTATTCTTTTCTAGGAGCTCTTTACTTATAAAAGAGAATAGTGGCTTCAGTATAATAAAAAGCCATACATTTAGTCTTTGTCTCTGGTTCCTGGTGCAGAGCTCCCCAAACCCTCAGAATTCCTGAATGATAGGAGTGACAGGAACATCTTTTGTTATTCACAATCAAGTACCTTTCAATCAAACCCAACTGCTAACCAAGTGGTTTAAGGTAGGGCTTCAGGATGGAGGCTAGCCACCAGAAAGAACAAACACACAACAAGAGAGTGGGAACTTTCAGCTCCTCCATCCCAACTTCTGTGAAGGAGAGAGGGGCTAGAGATTGACTGAGTCATAAAAACTCTTGATCAACAAGATTCAGAGAGCCTCATTCTGATGTGAACATGCTGAGGTACTGGGAGGGGGCTGTGCCCAGAGAAGGCATGGAAGTTTTGCAACACCCCTCCTCCCTATATCTTGCCTTCTGCATCTCTTCCATTTGGTTGTTCTTGAGTTGTATCCTTTATAATAAACTAGTAAACGTAAGTAGTGTTTGCCTGGGTCCTGTGAGTCATTCTGACGGGATCATGAGAATCCCTGAATTTGTAGTTAGCCAGACAGAAGTGTGGGTAGCCTGGGCACCCCATTTGTAGCTATTATCTGAAGTGGGGGCAGTCTTGTGGGACTGAGCCCTGAACCTGTGAGGTCTGTGTTAACACTGGATATAGTGTGAGAATTAAATGGCTTGAACTGTTGGACATCCAATTGGTGTCAGAGAACTGGAGAACTGGTTGGTGTTAGAAAAGACACAGCATTTGGTGTCAGAAGTAGTGTCAGAAAAAAGACAAGATGTAGGGCAATTTCTTAACTTGAGAAACACATATCTCTCTCTCCATTTACTTCTTCTCTGTGAAATCTATGGATACTCCACAAGTCTCTGGGAAAGATAAGAATGTGGAGAAGCCAAGTTTCTAACCTATGGTGAATATGTGAACTCCGTTTTATAATTCACATTGTCATCTATTCCTAAACAAATCCAAAGCAAGGACTTCACAGGGCTCAGGAAATATATACATAATAACTGTCTTGTAAAATTTCCTCACCAAATTAGATTATTTCCATTTTAAACTGAATAAAGACACAAAGGAAAACATATATATTGAAGGTAAAGGAAGGGTCAAAGGTTGGATATGCCACCACTCCGAACTGGAGGTCCAGAAAGTTCAAACATATGGATTAGTTTTGTGTTTAACCGGCACTGAGTGTAAGGTTTGTTCAGTCTTTACCAAATCCATCACAATTTCTCAGCAGCTAAACAGTGTGGTGCATGACCACTGTCAACCTATGAGCAGTATTTCATACAAAAAGGACTAGACCATGAAAATTCTGAGACCTAAACAGGATGAATTCCATTGGTCATTCTACATCCTGTTTTGTTTTTTTTTACAATCATTGCGTTTGTGTTATATAATCAGGTTTGTGTTAGCTCTACATCTCACATTCACATTAGAACTATCCTTTTTACACTGTATCAGGGAAAATGAGTGCTCTTGACATGAAAGTTTCATGCTTCTGAGAAGGGTTTTCATGTTCTCCCGCTACTCTGGCTTTACCACTGTTCCTGTTTCACCAAGCTACTAATTAATTTCCTATTTCCTTGAACCAATACAAGCAACCAGAATGGAAAGTTTTCTGGAAGACTTAATAGCTGCCGAGGAAGAGAGAACACATCCTACTGTGTGACTTGGTAGAAAAGGAACGTGAGTCCTTACCTGGTCTTTGCTGAAAGTAACCATGCATTGGTAAGCAGCATCTGCTGAGGCAAAGATGTGCGGGGGATTTGAGGCACGTTTCACCCCATGATAAAGTCTGGAAAACTGAAGAAAAAATAATAATTTAAAAGGCCCTTCTACTGCACCACTGGATCTTCTAATGCTCCAGCACCTGTTGCTCATGAAACCAAGGCTTTGTCATTTATTAGGGAAACTGTAGCATCAGAAAGGCTGTGGAGCACAGGCTCTGAGATCAACAGGCCCGAGTTCAAATCCCAGTTTTTCACTTGCTGGCTTCATGAGCTCATGCAAGGGAGTGAACTTTACTATGTTAAGTCTCCTCGAGTAGAAAATTGGTTAATAATAGTACTTGTCTCCCAGGGTTGTGAGAAGTAACCCAGAGCCTACAGTAAGCACTAAATGAATGTTGGCTATCATTGTTACATCTTGCTTTTAAAAGCAAGAATTCCTTGCCCCCAAATGTAAGAATTCCATCTGTGTTGCATTATTATCTGCAGTTTGGGGTATATACCCCTTGGTGGCATAGTTTTATTCTCACTTTTTCCTTCTTTGCATGTTTCCTTGTGATTTTTAATTTCCTACTAAGAAGCAACATGCTCTTAAAGCGCCGCTTACCTGCGGAGAGTAGATGCTTAGATTCTGGAAGGGGTTTAAGGCGATTAGGATGTCTCCCACATATGTGTAAATCAGCAAGTCCACATAACGCTCCTGCAACTGGCGAATAATTGTACCCTAAGAAGAGGACAAATGGCATTGAGAGTAAACATTATTCCCAACCAAGGGAGAGACTCTAAAAATAAAAGCAAACATTCTCACAAGAATATTTTCCTCTTGAAGATGAAAGTAGTCCATTTAAATCACACAGTGACTCTAATGATCCTAACAGCAGAAATCTGCCTTGAAATAAGACAAAAATAGAAATATCTGAAGGAATTGGTCCACCTGGGACTGCTAAAAGACATGGAAGATCCAGCAAAAGTTTTGTTTCTTATTACGAAAATGTATTTCACCCAATCAAAATGTTCTATTTAGAATTTGATTTAATAGGTCACTCCTAGCGATAAAGTATAGACAAAATAGTAACTTTATTTCTCAAAGCACTGCACTTAAAATATATGTGGTGAGACTATAGAATTGAACACTTTTATATATACCTTAGTGCTTCACGCATTGCAGTTAAAGGTCCCCAGAGATAGAATCAGGAGAAGCAGGTCCAGTGCAATTAACAGCTCTATTAAACATGCATATTTTAAATGAGGATTATCACAATTTTCAAGTTTAGAATTCAAGCTATATTAACTTCACCATTTCCCTAAGTGAAGCTCCTCTTTATGAAGACTAACCAAACATCTTAACCTAAGGGTTAAACTGCACTTTTCTTTAAACAGAGAAGAATTTTCAGCTCATATAATACATTCATGTCTATGATACAAAGAGCTTCACTGGGGGAAAAAATCTACATTCTTTTCTCATCATTTGGGATGTTTAGGGGACTATGAAAGAATACAACACAAGATGTCCCAGCAACCAAATGCTCTCTGAGCTTCACTGAGGCTATGCAAACAATTAAATTTTCAAGCGACTTTAGGAGACTATGGTCTACAACAGAAAGGTCAGACTATTCACATGAAACAAATGTCATCAGTGAGAATTATCTACTAAATATTTAGTGCCTACCTCATCCAGAACCTCTAGATTGACCAAGTCATCCTCAAGGCAGTATTTTTCAGCATCTTGCACATGATAGGGTCTTCTAGTATGCATCCTTTCACACCTAGAAGTTCATCCAAAGAATATTAGCACTGAGACAGTAAATAATACAGCAGAAAGAAGGCAATGACAATGTCTCTTTCAGTCTTATCCCAGGAAGTCTTACCCCAGAGGCTTCAGAAAAAGGGGCAAGAAGAGCAAGCCCCGTCCAAGCCCCCAAGCTCTCTCCCTGTCTCTGCAGGGCTCCCAGAGCTTAGTGAGCTCCAGAGCTCGAGCCTTTCTTCTACCACAGTAGGAAATACTAGCAAATGGGTACATCGAATACTTACATCTGCTCTTCTTAAATGCCAATCCCAGCACTTCCTCACATTTTTTTCTGTTCACTGTTAGGTATATAGTTTTCACTGGGGTACTTCCCTTGAGGTCCCGTCATGCTATCCATCAGTACCACCCCCAACTTTTTGAGGAAGTTTGAAACTATAGAAAACTTCATAGAATAATATAGCAAATACTAATAAATAAATCAGTGCTTACATTTTATGTTATTTGTTTATTTAAAATCCCTTTGTGACCCATGTTCATACTATTCCCCTTTCCTGAGTAACCATTATTTGGTGAGTATCCTTCAGTCTATATTTAAATAGTCATCATACACATATATGTACCCATGAACAATATATAGATTCTGTATGTTTAATTATAAAAATATCACACTGTAGATTTCATTCTGCAAACTGGCCTTTCCCCCCCATTCAACATTATGATTTCTCCCTCATATATATATATATATATATATATATATGTGTTAAAATATTGATCAACATTAGGCTGATTCCAATTTTTTGCTATTAGAAACAAAACAGCATTCAATATCTTTATGTTCATCCCCTTGTGCATATATATGATTTTCTGGGGGGGGGGGG